GTCGGTGTGTGGGGTCGGTGGAGGGTGTTGCTACGGGCACCAGCATCCCGGCGAGCGGCCGATGGTGACGGCAGACACCAGGGTGGCGGCCACGGGGTGTGAAGCGAGGGCGATTCCGCTCCTGTCCTAGGAACGGATATTCGCTCCCCGCTGCCTTCCACGTGGCGCATCGCTGGCGGGGCTGCACGTTGAGAACCCCAGCTTTTCCAGGAGGTCCGTACCTGCAATACACTCGTGGCATACACACTCGAGACGTAGAATTCCTGGGTGCACACCTGTGTGTCCGAGACGGACCTCGAGGGAGATCCTTCCCAGCAACCCCATCCCGGCTCCGCTCGCTGTGTGCAGCGTGCGATCCGGGGCCTGCAGGCGGCTCACGTCAACCCCGAGCACGCTGCAGTGTGCGGCGCCTCACGGTGAGGCTATGGCTCCCGTGTCCAGTATGATTCGGGTGCGCTGCCCGTTCACCTGTCTTTCCACCAGCGATGTGGCCCCCGTGATTCCTGCCACAGCTCCGTAGCCAGTCGCCCGTCCTCACCGCATCCTTGGGTGTTGGGGTCGGAATCTGCGTGGGGGTCACTCGCTCACCATTAATATTATCGTCGTTTTGTTTCGGGACCTCATTGATTGCACCCCTAGGTGGTCCACTCTCTAGGGGGCGTTGGCGTTTAACCCTGGCGCGTTTCTAGCGCGGGCGATCTGAGGACAGTCTCTCACTAGATGTCCCCGGTGGTCGCACAGGTAACATGCCCGGGGGGGCTGTTCCGTAGGAGGTCCCCTGTCCACCCCCTCTCCCCCTTCCCGTACGTAGCTGCCCAAGGTCGGCTTCTAACTGGTCACCCGTCCGGCCAGTCCCCCCACTGTGGGGCATAGCTCACCCATTTCGGATTGAATGGTCTTTACATTTTTGTTCGCTTCAGTCCGTATATCTTTTATACCCGTCTGTATCCCCACTACCCAGCCCGGGGTTGTCTCGCGGGGCCCCGTAGACTCTCTTGCTCGACCCCTTTATCGTGCGGGTGAGTCCCTCTTCTCCTCCTCTCCTCTTCCTCTGGGCCCAGGCTCGCGATGGCTCGCTCTCGTCCCGGGCCCCCGGAGCTGCGCGCGTTGGCTGGAAAGTCTTTCACACTTACGCGCGCGCTCAACAAGGGCGTTAAAGGAAAGGCGGGTGCAGCTTAGATCGGGGTGCCACCATGAGGTACGAGTCAAGTATCGTAGGATTTTCTCGGAGGCGAGGTCCTCAACTGCCTCCGCCGTGTACCCTGGCGCTGCAAGCTGCGTTAGCGTACGCACGTCCTCGACATAGTCACACAAATCCTCGTTGGGTTGGCGGCGGCGTGCCTCTAAGGCGATCTTTGCCTCCTCCTCATTACTCACGCCGAACCTAAGTCAAGTTGGCGCATTAGCTCTGCTAGCTGGGTTTGTGTGCTCGCGGGTAGGGCTTCTGTGAGTCAGCCGCCCGTCCATCTAAGTGTATGGTTAGTTGCTCTAAACGCCTGTGCGTCTAGTCCACCTATTATTTTTTTAGCCCCTTAAACGTTGGGGCAAATACCTTCCATGACGGGGTCCCCTGGCCGGTAAATATATGCCTTATTTTTACGCATGGGGTCACTGCGGGGGTTCGTACCGCTTCTGACGCCAATATGCGGGGCTGCTGCCCCTCGCCTGCACCGAATTGTCGGGGCCGCTGTCCCCTGACTCCCCCGTTACGATGCGGGGGCTGCTGCCCCCCGCCTCCTCTGTTTCATTCTCACTACTACCCCCCGACTGCTTTGTCGGATTCGGGCTGCCGACTTCCAACTCCTCGCCCCCCTGTGCCTCCGCCTTTGCTGCTGCCCGCGTAGGCATGTCATTCGGTAGGGCCGACGACTTTACGTTTACGATGCGCTACGCGGGCTAAGTAATGGGCGTGCTGCGGTGGGCGCGCTCGCGAAGCAAAACTCCGTCTTGTGCGCGAACGAAAGGGTACAGCGCGCCAACGCAGGACTCCGCGGCCGGCGCTTAGCCCCCAGGATCCGTTCGCACACACGTCCTACGTGCCTAGGCGCTAACAAACCCGACTCCGCTACCTGCCCGACTCCGTACACCAATCACACGCGAGGGACTTGGGGTCAGGGGTTAGAGTGCAGGGGTACCCACCGTGCGCGCGCCACTGATTGGAGTCACTCCGCCCAGATTTAAAGACCGTTTAAACAGCCACGCGTGTGCGCGAACACCAGACGCTACACTCTCTTTTTCGCTGTAAACAGCCGCGTATGCACACGAACATAAAGCACTCCACCCCCCTTTCCACACTCACAGCGACCACACGACATTTGTTTTATCCTCTACTGGCGGTTTTATTCCCCGCGAATAACCCGCTAAACTACGTGTGTTTGTGTGAGTCAGCGGACCCTAACTGGCCTATCCTTCGGGGATCCTGGACTCAATTTATTCTGCCTGGTGCTCCACTTTCTACCCTCTGATCAATTAACCCAAACTCACCTCTCCCTTACTTACACTGACTTCCAATCTGAGGCGCCGGAGGCTGCAGAAGGGCGATGCTGTAGGTCGTCTACGTGGAGGATTGTGCCTGGCTGCGTTGAAGCTCGTCACACAGACGACTCGAACGGCCGGCTCTAACACTCCGCTGACTTCGATGACTTGAAGGACTATAACCTTTACTGCCTGAATCCCCCCTCCTTTATCCCACCTACAACAAAGGAAATCCGCCGTTTCGCCCCCTTGGCCTCCCGTCCAATCAGGGGCTCGGTTTTTCCCGCCCTTTTGATGTTCAGATCCCAGCGCTGGTGACGTCGCCGCAGTGATCTCTCCGACGTCCGCTCTCTGCTCTCCTGCTCCCCGCCCACTGACCCATGCTGCGTGCGTGTGGTCCCATCCGTGGTGGCTTTACAGCCCCTGCCGTAACCATGCAATTATAATATCAGGTCACGGTACCGCGGTGCTGGTCAGCCTCGGGGGTAGGTCGCCCAATTCCCCGGCCGCAGGAAACCATGAAGCTTGATTCCATTAGGGGCTTCTGGATGAAAACCTGTCGGCCAGGTGACCTTCCCTCCCGGCTCTACGTGGGGTATGCGTGCGTTCATGTGGGGGGGCAGCGAGGGCGCGCAGCGTCGGCGTCGTCACTCTCCGGTGGCGGCGTCACGGCGGTGGGCACGGCCCCGACGGAGCGGCTCCGCTGCGGCGGCACCACACTTCCCACTGTGGGCCCCCCAACGCCTTCAACTAAAACGGAAGTATTGTAGGCCCTTGGGCTCTGGGTACTCTGAGGCCCCCAGTAATATTTTCAAAAGGAAAACAAAGTTAAGGAAAATATAATTTTATTTTACAAGACTAACAACAAATAAAATTCAGCATTCACAAATGAAATAACTCTTCACTTAATCTCTGGAGGCCCTCCAACTGGCGGAGGCCCCTGGGTTGCAGCTCCGAAAGCCCCGTGCCTTCATCCGGCCCTGCTAGGGATGGCTCTGCCTGTTCCTCACCGGGAGATGGAGTCGACCCGTCGAGTAGCAAGGAACAATCATTACCTCTTTATCTCAAGGCGACCTGGGGGGGGGGTACGTCAGGTCATTTTAAATACACACAATACTCAAACGTTTAACATGTAACAAATGTGGACTAAATTCAGCAATCGTTGCATAAATATTGGACTAAAGCTGAGTAAAGGATGTGAATTTCACATTTCGAATGTTAAACACTGCACGAGAGTGGTAGTGAGAGCGGCTCACAAGCTGAAGGTAGCGAGTTAACATCCTGGCTGGGGTGGGGGGTGATTTGGCCCATCAATATCTCCGGGGTTCATAAAATGGGTACCAATTTGTGAGGAAGTCAACCGTGGATCCTGTCTAGATAAACTTGTCCCCGCCTTAGAAATGTGTAATTTCCACCACTGCCTTAGGCCTATAAATAGAACACTCGCAACAATTTCGCAATGTTCATTTGAGCAGTGAACTCACACTGTTGATATGGACACAGCTGCTGCTGCTGCTTTGTTGTGTCATTGGACATACGCCGAGATGCCAACAATGCGCTGTGCCACCTCTACACAAGCAACACTCGCTGTCCCCCACTCGCCGAATCTCACACCAACATGGTGAGTGAGTGCACGTGAGGAGTGGACGTGGCGAGTGGAATGGTGCGGAGTGAGTACACGTGGTGAGTGGAAACGTGCGGAGTGAGTGCACGAAGGGAGTCGTGGACACGTGGCGAGTGGGGAACGTGCGGAGTGAGTGCACGTGGGGCGTGGAATGGTGCAGAGTGAGTGCACGTGGTGAGTGGAAACGTGCGGAGTGAGTGCACGAAGGGAGTCGTGGACACTACCAATGAGATCTTCACTCAAAACTGCTCTAGAGGAGTTGTACACCCCTAGCTGCCACTGATATTCAGTGGCCTAAAATAAAATAAAATGTTTAGCTCCGGATGACCGCTGCAAAGTATTATCTGTATTTTGATTTACTGTGCTGATGTTAAAGGTGCATTGAAAAATGTGATACTCCGACTGATGCTCCTGTTATTTGTGGAGTGACTCATGCAGCCAGCTGTGGCTCTAGGGTTTGGTGTTACATGTTATTTATGTAGTTTATTGTTAAAAATTCGGTCACAGTTCCTATGATCACTGTTACATTGCATGTATGGCTTTATTTTGGTGATTTCTAAAAGTTTTTTGGTTTGGCCATGTTTTTGTTTATTGTAGTACGGAGTTAGACTGATGGCCTTAATCTTAGTTGTCTTGTGGTTGTTGTTGTTTGATTTGCATCCCACTGGTATTTTTGCACACAGCGTTGGTGTACGGTGCTATTTCAGGAATATTTTGATGTTTTTTCCTGGATTTTCTGTTTGCACCTGCACAACGTCACTTTAGGATGTTTTCTTGTTCATGTTTTTGTTTTTTTGTTTGTTGCTGTTGCACCCGATTCAAGAGCCGAATGGCTCACAGGGCTATACCAAATAAATTAAACTATGAACTATGAAACTATGAACTATGACACGTGGCGAGGTTAAGTCCGCCCCCGCTGGTTCGCGGCGCGGCTGACGTCACTACCCATGACGTCACCCGGCCGCGCGCTGCGCGCTGAGAAGGAGAGGAGACGCAGGTGAGAGCGGTGAGTGGAAGGTGAATGGGTGGCGAGTTGTGAGTGAAAGGCGAGTGGGAGGTGAGTGAGCAAGAGGCACAGAGGAGCGGTCGGGGGCCCCGCTGCCCCCCCGTCTCTCGCCGCCTGCACCGCGACCCGGCCGGCGTGAGAGCGACCTTTTCTGCTCTCTCGCCCCCTCGTCTCCATCCTCTCTCACTGCTCCGTCCACGCACTCTGCCTGCTCTCCATCTCCTTTCTCCGCTGTCTCTGCCCTCTCCCTGCTCTTCCCACTGCTCCTCCCACTGCTCTTCTCACTGCTTCGCATCGCTTCCCTCCGCTCGCTTTTGCCTCTGCTCTCCCTCGCTGCTATTTCTCCTTGCCAACCCCACGCTCTGTCCACCATGCTCTCCATCTCCGCTCTCCTTGCTCTCTCTCTCGTCGCACTCTCCCCATGTATGTGTACGTATGTTCAACTTCTTTCGCACCGTACGTAGCCAACCGGAGCTAATCGGAGGTGCGGGGGAAGGACATGCTCTCCCCCCACTATCTCTCTCTTCCCCCACTCTCTCTCCCCCCACTATCTCTCTCTTCTCCCACTATCTCTCTCTCCCCCCACTATCTCTTTCTTCCCCCACTATCTCTCTCTCCCCCCACTATCTCTCTTCCCCCACTCTCTCTCTCCCCCCACTATCTCTTCCCCCACTATCTCTCTCCCCCCACTATCTCTCCCCCCACTATCTCTATCCCCCCAATCTCTCTCCCCCCACTATCTCTCTCCCCCCCACTATCTCTCCCCCCACTATATCTCTCCCCCCAATATATCTCTCCCCCCACTATATATCTCCCCCCACTATCTCCGTCTCCCCCCCCACTATCTCTCCCCCCACTATCTCTCTCCCCACTATCTCTCTCCCCACTATCTCTCCCCCCACTATCTCTCCCCCCACTATCTCTCCCCCCACTATCTCTCTCCCCCACTATCTCTCTCCCCACTATCTCTCTTCCCACTATCTCTCCCCCACTATATCTCCCCCCACTATCGCTCTCCCCCCACTATCTCTCTCTCCCCCCACTATCTCTCTCCCCCCACTCTCTCTCTCCCCCCACTATCTCTCCCCCCACTATCTCTCTACCCCCACTATATCTCTACCCCCACTATCTCTCCCCCCCGCTATCTCTCCCCCCGCTATCTCTCTCTGCCCACTCTCTCTCTCCCCCACTATCTCCCCCCCACTATCTCCCCCCCACTATCTCCCACCACTATCTCTCCCACCACTATCTCTCTCCCCCCACTATCTCTCCCCCCACTATCTCTCTCCCCCACTATCTCGCTCTCCCCCACTATCTCTCTCCCCCACTATCTCTCTCCCCCCACTATCTCTCCCCCCACTATCTCCCCCCCACTATCTCCCCCCACTATCTCTCCCCCCACTATCTCCCCCCCACTATCTCCCCCCCACTATCTCCCCCCCCCACTATCTCCCCCACTATCTCCCCCCACTATCTCTCTCCCCCCACTATCTCTCTCCCCCCACTATCTCTCTCCCCCCACTATCTCTCTCCCCCCACTATCTCTCTCCCCCCACTATCTCTCTCCCCCCACTCTCTCTCCCCCCAATCTCTCTTTCTCCCCCCACTATCTCTCTCTCCCCCCCACTATCTCTCTCCCCCCACTATCTCTCCCCCACTATCTCCCCCACTCTCTCTCCCCCCACTATCTCTCTCCCCCCACTATCTCTCCCCCCACTATCTCTCTCCCCCCACTATCTCTCTCCCCACTATCTCCCCCCCACTATCTCTCCCCCCACTATCTCTCTCCCCCCACTATCTCTCTCCCCACTATCTCTCCCCCCACTATCTCTCTCTCCCCCACTATCTCTCTCTCCCCCCACTATCTCTCTCCCCCCACTATCTCTCCCCCCACTATCTCCCCCCCCCACTATCTCTCCCCCCACTATCTCTCTCCCCCCACTATCTCTCTGTCCCCCCACTATCTCTTTGTCCCCCCACTATCTCTCTCTCCCCCCACTATCTCTCCAACCCCCCACTATCTCTCCCCCCACTGTCTATCTCCCCCCACTATCTATCTCCCCTCACTATCTATCTCTCCCCACTATCTATCTCTCCCCCCACTATATCTCCCCCCACTATCTCTCTCCCCCCACTATCTCTCTCCCCCCACTATCTCTCTCCCCCACCATCTCTCAACCCCCACTATCTCTCTACCCCCACTATCTCTCTCCCCACTATCTCTCTCTTCCCCCGATATCTCTCTCTCCCTCTGATATCTTTCTCCCTCCCGCTATCTCTCTCCCCCCCGCTATCTCTCCCCCGCTATCTCTCACCCGCTATCTCTCCCCACCGCTATCTCTCACCCGCTATCTCTCCCCACCGCTATCTCTCCCCCCGCTATCTCTCTCCGCCCACTCTCTCGCTCCCCCACTATCTCTCTCCCACCACTATCTCTCTCCCCCCACTATCTCTCTCCCCCCACTCGCTCACACATCATTCACTAACTCACTCTTCATACGCTGACTCGCACATCATACACTCACTCACTCTGCTGCTGACTCACACATCATACACTGGGAGTGTCGTGCTGCCAGCTATGGCTGCAGTTTTTTTGTCGTACCTGTTATGTATATCGTTTATTGTTAAATTTAAATTCACAGTTACTATGATTACTGTTGTTACATTGTTTTTACAGCTTTATTTTGGTGATTCGAAAACATATGGTTAATCTAAATTGTCTTATGGTTGTTGTTGTTGGCTTGCACCACATTGATTTTAACACAGCGTTTTAACAAGTTTTTTTGCGTGGAATATTTGCTGTTTTTTTCCAGGATGTGTCTGTTACGCGTTGTCGCTTTAAGATGTTCTGTGGTCAAATTTTGTTTGTTGCGGTTGCACCCGACTTAAGAGCCGCATGGCTCACAGGGCTATACCTAATAATGAAACTTGAAAAAATGAAATCTCTCCCCCCACTATCTCCCCCCACTATCTTTCTCTCCCCCCACTATCTCTCCCCCCACTATCTCTCTCCCCCCACTATCTCTCTCCCCCCACTATCTCTCCCCCACTATCTCTCTCCCCCCCACTATCTCTTTCCCCCCCACTATCTCTTTCCCCCCACTATCTCTTTCCCCCCACTATCTCTCCACCCCACTATCTCTCTCCCCCCCACTATCTCTCTCCCCCCCACTCTCTCCCCCCAATCTCTCTCTCCCCCCACTCTCTACCCCCACTATCTCTCTCCCCCCACTATCTCTCCCCCACTATCTCTCTCCCCCACTATCTCTTTCCCCCCCACTATCTCTTTCCCCCCACTATCTCTCTCCCCCACTATCTCTTTCCCCCCCACTATCTCTTTCCCCCCACTATCTCTTTCCCCCCACTATCTCTCCACCCCACTATCTCTCTCCCCCCACTATCTCTCTCCCCCCACTCTCTCCCCCCAATCTCTCTCTCCCCCCACTATCTCTCTCCCCCCACTATCTCTCCCCCCCTATCTCTCCCCCCACTATCTCTCTCTCCCCCCACTCTCTCTCTCTCCCCCCACTATCTCTCCCCCACTATCTCTCCCCCACTATCTCTCTCCCCCCACTATCTCTCCCCCACTATCTCTCCCCCACTATCTCTCCCCCACTATCTCTCTCCCCCACTATCTCTCTCTCCCCCACTATCTCTCTCCCCCCACTATCTCTCTCCCCCCACTCTCTCTCTCCCCCACTATCTCTCTCCCCCCACTATCTCCCTCTCCCCCCACTATCTCCCTCTCCCCCCACTATCTCTCTCCCCCCACTATCTCTCTCCCCCCACTATCACTCTCCCCACTATCTCTCCCCCCACTATCTCTCCCCCCACTATCTCTCTCCCCCACTATCTCTCTCCCCCCACTATCTCTCTCCCCCCACTATCTCCCCCCACTATCTCTTTCCCCACTATCTCTCCCCCCACTCTCTCCCCCCACTATCTCCCCACTATCTCTCTCCCCCAATATCTCTCTCCCCCCACTATCTCTCTCCCCCCACTATCTCCCCCACTGTCTCTCTCTCCCCCCACTATCTCTCTCCCCCCACTATCTCTATCTCCCCCCACTATCTCTCTCTCCCCCCACTATCTCTATCTTCCCCCACTATCTCTATCTTCCCCCACTATCTCTATCTCCCCCCACTATATCTCTCTCCCCCCACTATATCTCTCTCCCCCCCACTATATCTCTCTCCCCCCACTATCTATCCCCCCACTATCTCTCCCCCCACTATCTATCCCCCCACTATCTATCCCCCCACTATCTATCCCCCACTATCTCTCCCCCCACTATCTCTCTACCCCCACTATCTCTCTACCCCCCCGCTATCTCTCTCCCCCCCGCTATCTCTCTCTCTCTCCCCCCACTATCTCTCTCCCCCCACTATCTCTCTCCCTCCACTATCTCTCTCCCCCCACTATCTCCCCCCACTATCTCTTTCCCCACTATCTCTCCCCCCACTATCTCTCCCCCCACTATCTCCCCACTATCTCTCTCCCCCAATATCTCTCTCCCCCCACTATCTCTCTCCCCCCACTATCTCCCCCACTGTCTCTCTCTCCCCCCACTATCTCTCTCCCCCCACTATCTCTATCTCCCCCCACTATCTCTCTCTCCCCCCACTATCTCTATCTTCCCCCACTATCTCTATCTTCCCCCACTATCTCTATCTCCCCCCACTATCTCTATCTCCCCCCACTATCTCTCTCTCCCCCCACTATATCTCTCTCCCCCCACTATATCTCTCTCCCCCCACTATATCTCTCTCCCCCCACTATCTATCCCCCCCTATCTCTCCCCCCCCTATCTATCCCCCCACTATCTATCCCCCCACTATCTCTCCCCCCACTATCTCTCTACCCCCACTATCTCTCTACCCCCCCGCTATCTCTCTCCCCCCCGCTATCTCTCTCTCTCTCCCCCCACTATCTCTCTCCCCCCACTATCTCTCTCCCCCCACTATCTCCCCCCACTATCTCTTTCCCCACTA